TAAGGAGATGACTGTGCATGGTGAGGATGACAGTAGGGACCCAGCAGCGCACGCAGTAATTTGTTTTTTCGGGGCGGAGAAGGGTATCAACTGGGTTGTGCGGACCCAGGCTTTTATTTCATATGTTTAGCACATGACCAGCCCAGTTTATTTTTTTTCCTTTCTGAAAATGGCTAGCCTAGCTATTTTGTTTTTTGCAGAATAATCAATGTAGGCCTACTTGCTTTTCTACGCCCTGCTGGGCCAGAAATCTTTCAAGACGAGGAGGGATGCATTTTGCCCAGAAAATGGGCTATAAGTAATAAGAAATGGGCTATAAGTAATAATAAATGGCTGTAAAATGAAAAAATACAGCAAACACGCCATTAGTTCCAAAATATATTTTTTCTTTCGGATTTTGATATTTTAAATTTCATTGTTTTTGCGCGGGTAAAATTTCATTGGATTTAAATTAAGATATGTTTAGTTTTTAAATTAATTTAAATCTGGCTAGAAATTTCTGGTTGTATGCTGTTTGGGACAGATTTGGAGGCTGACTTGTGGGTCTACTACATTGACGTGTATGAAAGGCTTTGTCAACTTAGTCCACAAACGATTCTAGCAGTAGTGACCGTTGGATGTTAATCTAACGGTCGTGCTGCTTCTTCAATATCTGATCTTCTTGCTCTAGCCGCCCAAACCAGCGCCGGTGGGACTGCCTGCTCCCACCTCCCGTGACCGGCTATGGTGCCGCACAGGCCGCACCGCCCCACCCTACTCCATTGCTGGCCAGGCCATTCCTCTACTCACCCACATCTCCTGTTATTTTCCCGCGACAGCAGCCGGACCAGTAAACCCTTGTACTGCCCACCACGTGGGCAACCACTGCCGAGTCTTCACCAGCTCCATGTCGTTCCCTTCCTAGGCCTCGCCATCGTCCATCGCCCTAGTGCTCTCGGAGCGGCGTGGTCAACGTGGTCAACGAACGACATCCATCGGACGTGGATTGTACGTGGAGAGGCTAATAGCTGGGTCCACGGTCGCACACAAGAAAATGCCTCCTTATTGCGCGCAAAATAATGATTCCTCCACCTGACATCTGGGGCCCACCGGAAGGGCCTCTGTATTTCGTGAAAAAAAAAACGTTCCCCCCACTGACAGATCGGACCCACCAGCTATATCTTCGCATGCAAGGAAGTGCCTCCTTATTACGCACAAAAAAATGAATACTCCCCCTGCTAGCTGGGACCCAGCATAGTGGGATGCTGACTTGTGAGCCCACTAAGTTGACGGGGACGGAGGGCTTTGTCAACTTAGTCAATATGAATGATTCTAGCTCCAGTGACCGTACGATGTCCATCCAACAGCCGTAGTGCTTCTTCAACCTCTGGTCTTCTTGCTCCAGCCGCCCAAACCAACACCGGTCGTGCCGCGTGCTCCTGCATCCCATGGCCGGCTGTGATGCCACGGAGGCCTCACCGCCCCCTACTACTCCCACCGCTGGCTAGGCCATTCCTCTACTCACCCACACCCCCTGTTATTCTTCGGCGACGGCAACCTCACACCGCAGCCGAACCAGTGAACCCTCGTACTCCTCTCCGCGTGGGAAACTACTGTCGCGCCTTCCCTGGCTCTGCGTCGTCCCCTTCCTAGGCCTCGTCGTCGTCCACCACCCTAGTGCTCTCGGCGCGGCATGGTCAACGTGGTCAAGGAACGACTTCCATCGGAAGAGTACTGTACGTGGAGAGGCTGACAGCTGGGTCCACGACCGCAGCAAGGAAGTGCCTCCTTATTACACGGAAAATAATGGTTCATCCACCTGACAGCAGGGACCCACCGGACGGGCCACCGTATTTCACGAAAAAAATGTTTCTCCCTAACTGCTGGGACCCACCAGCTACATCTTCGCACGCAAGGAAGTGCCTGACAGTCGGGACCCACCCGGTCGAAGCGTATGTAGCGTTGTCATTCTGGTCGCGAACATGTACGTACATACGATCGGTATGTCTGCAGGCTACAGCGATGAACCGTGGCCGTGTAAGGAAGGGCACGTGTCATAATAGAGGCACGCACGTGTCGTAGTAGAGGCGTGCATGTAGCATGTACACGTACGTACAGCGGCCGGGGTGCAAGAAAGTAAATACGGCCATGTACATACATACGGGCGGGATCTCGAACGCCTACTCGTGCATACGTTCGGCCAGGTCTCGTGTACATGGCTGGGTCAGAATGGAGAAACTGCGTCGTCGTCGTGTTCATGGGGAGGCAACGGAATGCGTCGTCTTCATCGGGAGGCAACAGAACGCGTGCTGTTCATCGAGAGCCAACCGGCTTGGATGGAACAGCCGATGGAAACGAGGCCTGGTGTACCGCAGAACAGAGGAAACGGCATTGTGTTCGACCGGCCATGGTCGAAACGGGGTCCTGTTCATCAAGAGGAGTCTGGCGTACCACAAAACGGAGGAAACGGACTTCTCTTGGACCTCCTACGGTCGACATGGGGTCATGTTGATCGGAGGGGTGTGGCGTACCGCAAAACGAAGGAAACGGACTTGTGTTGGAACGCTACGGTCGAAACGGGGGTCCTGTTCATCGGGAGGTGTGTGGCGTACCGCAAAACGGGACTCCACGGGATATTGTTCATCTCCACCGTCGACTACCTCCACGGGCTACTGTTCATCCACCATCGACCTCCTCCAGCCTCCACCCGTGACTGTTCATTCACGGGCTCCTGTTCATCCAGCCTCCACCACGCGCTCCTCCACCAGCTACTGTTCAACCAGCCCTCTCCATGGGGTCCTGTTCAACCACCCCTCCACGGGCTACTGTTCATCCAGCCCTCCACCGGCTACTGTTCAACCAGCCCTCCACGGGGTCCTGTTCATCCAGTCCTTCACGGGTTCCTGTTCATCCAGCACTCCACGGGGTCCTGTTCATCCACCGGCTCGATTGATCGGGGTCCTGTTCATCCAGCGGCAACGGCCTCTACTACCACGGGTTCCTGTTCATCCAACCCCCCACCAGGAACTGTTCATCCAAACCCCCCACAATGCTCATTATTCATCAAGAGGCAGCAGGTTCGATCGGCTTCAGTTAGCAGCAGTAGTGAAGGAATCGCTCGATCGGGTTCAGTTAACAGCCATCGATCGATCGCTTGGGTTCAGTAAGGCGTAGCCTGCAGTGCAATCGCTCGGGTTCAGTAGGCGAACGCCTCGCTCGGGTTCAGTTAGAGCCCAACACCTCGCACCCACGCGCCTACGTGTACGAGAGAAACGCGCATCGCTCGGCCCCCGACCACCCACCGTAACCGGGAACTCCCCGATATTCTTCGCGCCCCCGCTTCTACCACGATTTTTTCCGTCATGAACGGCCCAAAGAATGTCATGCAGCTGCGTCTTCGGCCCGCCCAGGACGAAAAGCCCATTTTCTGTCATGATTTTTCTCATAAAGTAGGAGTCCACCACATCTATGATGATACCGGATTTTGTCACAATTATCGTCATAGAAGTGTGCTACGTCTCCAACGTATCTATAATTTTTTTTGTTCCATACTATTATATTATCTGTTTTGGATGTTTAATTGGCTCGTGGGCACAGCCAATTTACCAGGCGTCTGGCCGTCCGTGGACCCACCCACCGCTCTATCCCCTCGACCTCCTTATCCAGCCGCAGGTTCCTTTCCAACCACACGTTTCTCCCCTCTCCCTTTTGCTCTATCCCATGGGATTTGGTCCGCCATGGATGACCTCTATGAGCTCCCTCAAATGAATTCTCAGGAAAATAAAGGGTGTTGCTACCGGCTGGGGGCAGTCCCGCAGCTGCAAGAGGACAACCGTCGCCGCTGCAGCATGAGCTGCTGCATAGACCAGCGACAGAGTGGCTGCTTTGTACGAGAGTGCGGCGGTGCTGCGAGGTGGTCCAGCTACTGCAAGCCCGACGGCGGACCAGATGCTCGGCGATGCTGCAACGAAGGCTGCGATGGCGTCTCGGCTGCGACGGCGTGCTACGACCACCCGTCGGTGGAGCGCTGATGCTGCTAGCCCTGACATCGTCTTGCGTGAGGGCTCCCGGTGCTGCCACGGGCGGCTCCCCTGCTACGAAGCATCGCCGGTTGCTGCGATGGTCATTGGGAATCTGTGACCTGTCATGGTGCGACGCCGCTCGCCGGGAGCATCCGGTGCTGCGAGGCCGCTTGCCGGCGGGAGCGTTGGTGCTCGTCGGAAGCATCGGTGCTGCGAGGCCGCTCGGCGGTGGGAGCGCCGGTGCTCGCCTGAAGCATACGATGCTGCGAGGCCACTTGCTGGCGGGAGCGTCGGTGCTGCCAGGCTGCTCGCCGGAAGCATCGGGTGTTGCGAGGTGCTCGCCGGCAAGAGCGTCAGTGCTGCGAGGTGTTCGACGGAAGCATCTGATACTGCAATGCGATGTGCTGCAGGGCCGCCGGCGATGCTCGGAGGCGATGTCACGAGGGAGTGTCAGAGCTGCTATGCTGCTAGGAGTGGTGCTGCGACGCACTGTGAAGAAAAGGACGTCTGATGCCTGCGTGTCGCGTGCGCAAAGAAAGCACAGTGCAGAAGAAGAGAGAAGGGATCGAAAAGAAAGCAGTGTGCAGAAGAAGAGGGATCGAACGGCCGCGCTCGAGCGCATCAGACGACTGTAGGTGGCTGTTATCTCGCCTCCTACATCCGGATGGCGCCTAGCACGCGCCTTAACTTATCCGTATTTTAGTTGGATAATCTACACAAGATTTTGATTTTAGGCTGTTATAGTAGATTGATGTTAAAAACGGCTGTTACAATAGAAATTGGATTTTCTCTAAGAACTGGCTACCCAAACAGCAAAGGGTACCTGGCAACTCACAGCCTACTAGTTACATTAAATATTGGGTTTTGGGTATATAACCCGGGTAGCAGCAGCAGAAGGTTCCTCGACGTTCTAGTTTAACTTTTACACAGGAATCATAGGGTACTTATGATGACTTGCGGGAACTTTTACACAGGAATCATGGCATCGGCGGTGGTTGATCATGGCATCGGCGGTGGTTGATCATGGCATCGGCGGCAAGGCTCCACAACATTTAGCTCAACTCCGGAGGGAACTTTTGGCTCAACATATGTCCTGATAGCCAAGAGCCCTCTACCAACTTCCACCATAAAATCCACGCCCAACAGGTTGCACTTTCCAGTATTGTTGGTTAAACAGCTATCGAAAGGATGTCCTGTTGTGGTGTTCAATGTAAGGCTCTCAAGTGAGCTCGTATTCTCAATGATATGGCATGTTAGCTCTACTAAGCTCTTCGCAGAGGAGAAACCAATGATCTTCACTGTCTTGAGGCTATCATGGTGGTGTCCTGGCATCTGCCTCAAATGTGATGTATCTCCCACGATTGACTCGTGCAACATCTTTTGCTGCAACACCTAAAGATGACATGCCAATAGGTTGGATTAATAGTTTCATCATTGTAACTAAATATCCTTGCAAGATGGACAGTGACTTACATTCATGACAAGGGTCTCCAAGAAAGGAGAAGCATCAAAAAGTGATATCAAAGAACAATAGTCGTAGGTCGGGGAAAATGTCATTGCTTGAAGATCAACATTCAAGTGCTTGAGATGCAGGAATTTGCTATGTAGAACTGGTGTATCAATCATCTGTGCAAAGATATTTCAGATCAATCATACTATGAGTATCAACAGTTCAAAGATAACCAAGGATTTAGCATATACCTCACAACGTGAACCTAGGGAAAGATCTTCAACATATCGCAAGCTGGACAGAAAATCAGCACAAACATAGCTGATAGCACCAGGAAAGTACAAGTCGAACTTCTTGAATTGCAATCCTACTCCAAACGATAGGTGTACTTTGCGATGACCCATAAACTGGAAATTAGAGAGGTTTGGAGCTTCTACCTCTATAACCCGCAGCAAGCTGCCGCCATCAAACACGTCCAGATATCTGAGCTGTTGTAGATGAAAAGGTATCTTCAAGCAAATTATCTTATTGCAAAACTTTAGTTGCATCCGTTGCAAAGCAAAAGAATTGTGAAGAATGGATCCCAACTGGTCCCCCGTAATAGCAACATCGCTTAGCTCGAGTCTTGACAAGCTTTTAAAGCACAACTCGTCAGTCGGAGAGAAAGCACAACGGGCAAGATTTAGATACCGAATCGAGTTTCCACTCTCATTGGCTAAAAGTGACCACGGAAAGTTGTAATATCTTCCTGACTTTGAAGATAGTTCTATAGTGAGTTCTTCAATCCCCGGTGTAACAGCAGCCTGAAACCAGCTATCAATGTTACAGACTTTGGCATTGTAGTAACGGAAAACAATCTCGAGTGTCTTGGTGGCAATGCATGGGCGGTTTTTCAATATGTGGTCAACTTTGTTGGTAAAATTTCTAGCTATTCCGTCCTCTCCACATGATTCTATATCAATGCCCAATGTTATCATATTGAAAGCAAGGTTCGGATAGCATCTCCAAGTACGTTTAAATGCATGAGACACACAAGCAGCTCGAGCAGCATCTCGCATTGGCAGTAGGGAATATATATGACACCAAATATCCTGCATGCACAAGCATGTGAGAAATTATTTCAAATGGACATCAGAAATAAAGAAAACCATGTCAGGTAACATTTTAACCAAAGTGCTTGCACATGATTGCAGCGCGATACAAAGGCACACTGTGCAATTGTGCTGACTGCTGAGTAAAGGGTAATGTCTTGGTTCTAAAAGAATAGTGGCTGGTTCACCGTGAAAATGTGCTGACTGCTGAAAGGACGCTGCAGTAGGATTGTAGCAGGTTGCAGCACTAAGGATATGTTCATACTAAATATTTACCAAGCACAGCTCAACCAATTAGTATAGTTAGAGCATTCATAGCCCATCATCAGCGTTTCATGGCGTACCTCTGGAAGATGTGGCCCAGGGTATTGTATTTCACCACCTTGGGAACAATGGTCTTGTTTGCAGGTTGAGTCCTTTCTGTCAACCATTGAATCTGCTGTTCCATCTGCAATACATAATACATATGATTACAGGTGGAAAGTTATAGAAGATTGCAATACCACCCAAGTATATCGTTGAGGATGCTCAAACAAATAAAACAAGACAGGGGAACACATTATCCAGAGGGTGCATAGACAGTCGACTTGAGTTCCCCTCTGTTGTATTGCCAAGGATCGTCTCAGACCCCACACAGACTAAGCACGGCAGCCACCTGCCAACTTTAGCATGGAAGACAAATGGGGCCTCTTCAAATCCAATGTATGCTTACTATGTAATACTCCCTCCATCCCTAAATATAAGTCTTTGTAGAGATTTCACTATGAACCACATACGGATGTATGTAGATGCATTTTAGAGTATAGGTTCACTCATTTTACTCCGTATGTGGTTCATAGTGGAATCTCTCCAAAGACTTATATTTAGGAACGGAGGGAGTATTTGAGTGGCTACACTGATGTTATAGCAAATTTTTCATAACACGGGTAGGAGTACATATGAACAACAGACACAAAAATTTGATCTTTACCCAAATAGATCCACAAAATCCTTCTATACTACCATAGAAACCTTAGCTCAACCAAACAGTTTTCTCTATGAAAAAAAATCAAAATTTTACACTCAAATAGACAATAGACTAGATCAACCTACAAGAATCTACTTGCCTTACCTGGTCTTGTGCCTGATGAAAATAACAACGAGGCGGTCACTTACTATGGGGTTGTATTTGCAGGCGACGACTTTCCCGCTGCATCGATATCACCCGATTGAGCATCAGCTGACCCATGGTTCGACGAGACCTAGGGTCGAGAAATCTCGATTTGGATCTCGCTCTCGCGAGTACGGCTCGATTTGGATCGAACAGGGGCGAGGCGGGGGGTTGCGTCGGCGCCGGCGGAAGGGTCAAGTAACTGACCTAACACGGATTCCGCAGGCCAGGGCACCGCCCCACCAATAAATCTCCATCTCACGGAAACGTGAGGTACTCCTACTTTGATATGGGCCAGGATTCCCGAAAAAATCGTCTCGGTCGCTCGTTATCACGTTATATCTCGGGCCTGTTTTGCTAGCGAGACAACAACAACTGGGGGGTAGCGCTCCCCTAAATAGGCCAGCCCATAAGCACGCACACAAGCCTCTATGTCAGCCACGCATCACGGGAACTAGGTTTGTGCCCGGAGGTTAGAACATCTCCAGCCGTTCGGCCTCACAGGACGCCGAAAAAGAGCGGCCCGGGGCGAGCCGGCGCGAGATCGGCCCCTGGGGTTCGCTTCCCCACAGCCACGCCCTCAGGTGCCGCCCCCCAAGGCGCCCCATATTCGAACCCCATCGTTCCCGCTCAAAGAAACAACAAATCGGCGATCATCGCAATAGTTCGGCGATTCGGTGCCACAGTTCGACAATCAAATAAAAGGACACGTAGTAGTTCGGCGTACAGAAAAGGAAGGACACGGAAGGAGTACATCAAACGTCGAGCTCAACCTCCGGCGGCGGCGTCGTTGGCGTACGCGGGTTGGAAGGAGTCGGCGCGGCTTCTGTGTTGGGCTGGGCGTCGCGGAGGCATCGTCATCAGCCGTCGGGCTAGGCGGCGGCGGCGGTGTCGCCGATATCTGATTCAGGATGAGGTCACGCTCCGCCAAGAACCACGCCTAGAGCTTCTTGTCGCCGCTCTGGAGCATGTCAGCGCCGCCCATCAAGAAGGCGAGGTTGTTGTTCCTCTTCTTTGCGTCTTGAGCTTTTAGTTTCACGGCGACGTTGGTCCGGAGCAAGTCAAGTTTGACGGCGCTGTTCGTCATCAAAACAGCCCACCTGTTGGACCTTGAGAAGAGGTGTCTAGAGGGAGAGTGATTAGACACTAAGTACCAAAGTTGCAGTTTTTAAGATCTTTAAGTTTAAATGGAGTTTAGGAACAAGTTTAACATTCACAATACATAGCAAGCAAGCATGCAAAGAGTATATGAGCAGCGGAAAGTAAAGCATGCAACTTGCAAGAATGTAAAGGGAAGGATTTGGGAGGATTCAAACGCAACTGGAGACACGGATGTTTTTGGCGTGGTTCCGATAGGTGGTGCTATCGTACATCCACGTTGATGGAGACTTCAACCCACGAAGGATAATGGTTGCGCGAGTCCACGGAGGGCTCCACCCACAAAGGGTCCACGAAGAAGCAACCTTGTCTATCCCACCATGGTCGTCGCCCACGAAGGACTTGCCTCACTAGCGGTAGATCTTCACGAAGTAGGCGATCTCCTTGCCCTTACAAATTCCTTGGTTCAACTCCACAATCTTGTCGGAGGCTCCCAAGTGACACATAGCCAATCTAGGAGACACCACTCTCCAAGAAGTAACAAATGGTGCGTTGATGATGAACTCCTTGCTCTTGTGCTTCAAATGATAGTCTCCCCAACACTCAACTCTCTCTCATAGGATTTGGATATGGTAGAAAGATGATTTGAATGGAAAGCAACTTGGGAAAGGCTAGAGATCAAGATTCATATGGTAGGAATGGAATATTTTGGCCTCAACACATGAGTAGGTAGTTTTCTCTCAGAAAACGTATGCTGGAAGTGTAGGTTCAGTCTGATGGCTCTCTCCACGAATGAAGAGAAGGTGGAGGGGTATATATAGCCTCCACACAAAATCTAACCATTACACACAATTTACCAAACTCGGTGGGACCGATTCAACGGACTCGGTCGGACCGATTTAGTAAACCTAGTGACCGTTAGGATTTTCGGTGGGACTGATATGCAACTCGGTAGGACCGATTTGGTTAGGGTTAGGGCATAACATAATCTCGGTGAGACCGATTACACAAACTCGGTGGGACCGATTTTGATAATAAGTTTTCCAGAGAGTTGGTCAGGCAAACTCGGTTGGACCGATTACACAAACTCGGTGGGACCGATTTTGGTAATAAGTTAACCAGGAAGTTTGCATTGTAATCTCGGTAGTACCGATTGATCAAAATCGGTGAGACCGATTTTGGTAATGGACATACAAAGAGAGATTACAATCCCATCTCGGTAAGACCGAGATCCCTATCGGTGAGACCGATTTGCCTAGGGTTTGTGACAGTGGCTATGACATCTGAACTCGGTGGCGCCGGATAGAAAGAATCGGTGGGGTCGAGTCTAACTTTTGGTTTGGGTCATATGTGTGGAAGTGGGAAAGTAGTTGAGGGTTTTGGAGCATATTACTAAGCATTATGGAGCAAGAAACTCATTAAGCAACACCTCATCCCTCCTTGATAGTATTGCCTTTGCCTATAGACTCAATGTGATCTTGAATCACTAAAATGTAAAATGAAGAGTCTTGAGCTTGAAACTTGAGCCAATCCTTTGTCCTTAGCATCTTGAAGGAGTTCCCACATCCTTTAATCCATGTCACTCCATTATTGAACTTATCTGAAACATACTAGATAAAAGTGTTAGTCCAACAAGAGATATGTTGGCATTAATTACCAAACCACCTAGGGAGCACTTGTGCTTTCAATCTCCCCCTTTTTAGTAATTGATGACAACATACATCAAAGCTTTAGATAAAGATATAAAGAATAGCAAGTAAAGCTTTGGAAAGACGTGTAACAAGCATGGGCTCCCCCTACATGTATGCAATCATGTGAATATTGAATATAAAAGCATGTGAGAGCATAACCATGATAGAGTAGGCAATGTGTTACATGTATCTTGGCCATATGCATCAGGGCAAAGAGTATTAAAGAAAGTACCTTCATGCTCATGAGTCCTTCTTGCAAACAGTATGTACATCAGCAAGAATTCCTCATATACATGATTGTGATACATATACTTACCTTGTAGTCTTGAGTTGGCTTAGGATGGAATGAACCTGCGTAAACAAGGTTAGATAACACAGATACATCTACTAGCCAGAGCAAACAGAAGAAACCACAAGAATACCAAGACTGGGATGACATGTAGAGAGTGAGTACTAAGTACCACATTGGATTAGACATGTCCCCAAGAGTAAAGATATGCAATGAATTTAACTGATTTCTTTCCCTTAGATGTCTTGCTCCCCCTGAATCTAGCATGGGATACTGGGAGAAGATAGGGAATAGAAAATCAGAGCTGAAAGATATAAATGAACAGGGATAATGCAAGCAAGTGCAAATGAGCACAAAAGATCATATGAACATGTCTCTCCCCTCAAGAAGACATGTGGCATCTCTCCTCTTGAACACCAAGCATCTGGGATCCTTGAGAAATACTCTTTACTTAAGTATTCTCTCCCCCTAGAGATCTCTCTCTCTCTCCCTGAGGATCTCTCTCCCCCTGAGGAGGTGATATACTCTTTCTCTGATGTGATCTTTCTCTAAATGATAAGCTCTGATGTGATCTCTCTATCCCCCTTTGACATCACTTTCCAAGAAGGGTTTTCTGGAATCTGTCGAATGGGTTTGGTCCTTGAGTCACAGCACAAAGCAATGATAAAAATGTGATGCTTGTAGAGGGCAAGATTCATTGAGTGGAGCTGGATCAGAAGAAACACAGAATATGTGGCAAACTGTTTTTCTTGTTGTGAAATCGGTGGCACCGAGTGGTATGCTTCGGTTGTACCGAAAGGATTCGGTTGGACCGAAAACAACAAATCGGTGATACCGAGTTCATCGCAGAGAAAACACTTGTCACCTCAGCTCACTAGACTAGTAAGATCTCACAAAGATTTGCAAGGAATTTACTGAAAGATATGCAATGAATTGGATGCAGAAAATGCAGAGCAAACAAAAAGAAATCTAGATAAAGTTTTTTTTTGAAAGGGGAAACAAATATGCATGAGACAAATGCAAAAACACAGAAAACAACACAAGAGAACTTCATCTAGAGATGGTCGGCGACAAAGTCACCTATGTTAGAGTATATTGACTTAGGAGTCAAGTGAGATCACTTGATCATAGGTCATACTCATCGTTTAAGCTCAAAATGGGGTTTCCATTTTTCGTTTAAGCATCTTGATGTATTCACATCTTGTCGAGTTGCTTTAGCTCATGACTTGGAGTAAAGCTTCTTTAAGATGGAATAACATACCTTGGTTGGTGGTGTTGAACATGTAGTTGAACTTGTGTGGGTTGCTTAAGGTTGATGTAGCTCATCAAGAATTTGGAGCACCACTTGAAATTTGAGTCCATCTACCTGCATGGGTTATTTCTTGCAAGGAAGAGCACTTGTGTATCCAAAGATGACAATCATGAAGCTCAACATAGAATTTGTCAAAGGATATGCTTGAATGGTTCCGTGTTTCCTTGTCTTCAACCACCATGGTGTAGAGACTTGGTGATGTAGAGATTGCTCAAGATATGAGTAGGTTACAACCTTATGGAATTAGATTCATCCAAGTACCTACATGGGTTAGATAACATGCAAGATACAAATATATCCAGGACATAAGATTTTCATCATAAGAGAAATATCAAGGATTAGTCATAAGCTCATGTCTTGCATGTATCCAATGGAGTTTCTACTCCAAGTTTGAAGCATCAATGATGTTCAATTCTCCTCTTAACCTGCAAAACACTTTCTCATCAAGAGGTTTAGTGAATATATTCGCTAATTGCTTTTCGGTGCGAACATGCTTAAGATCAATGTCACTCTTAGCAACATGATCTCGAATGAAATGATGACAAACTTCAGTATGATTAGTTCGAGAATGTTGTACGGGATTATGACCAATTTTCATAGCACTTTCATTGTCACACGGCAATGGAACATGTCTCACATATATTCCATAATCTTTAAGAGTTTGGGTCATCCAATGTAATTGAGCATA